ACTATGCTTGAATCAATTGATGTATGGGTTGTTATAAGAGCTCCCAATAAAATGAGCTTTTAATTAAAAAAATAAATAAGAGTTACAGTCGCAGAAACCCACAGAGCAGTTGGGATGCTGTCCTGTAGGGTCACTTTGAGGTGGAGCAGACTCAATGGCAATGTGAAGTCTTCGGTGAACAGCTTGTAGTTTTGATGCCAATCTGGTAGGAGAGCATTCCAGTGCTTATCAAATAATACCAGCAGGGCCACAAAATGATAGCAGTAGATCTCCATGAAGAAGGATTAAATATATCTGTAAAGTCATAGTTAAAAGCATAGGTCTTTTATATGAAAATTCCAACTTCATGATTTTCAGACTTGATGAACTTGAATGGAACGTAACATCATTAACTATGCATTTTCCTTTCATCATTGCACAGCCCAACAACAACAAAAATTTTTTTCTTGGTGTCTTGCTTTGTAGGCCTGTTTCTGGGTCAATTTGGGGCACTGATTCCAAAAATTGTATAGTATACACAGTATTAGCTCCTGTTTCTTAGATAAGATGTTCCACTATATTTCAGCTATTAATGTATGCTAATTTATTAATTAATAACCATATTTTAAAATAGGAGAATAATTCAGATACACACATCATGAGATAAGATTAAAAGGGTAAGAAATATTTGATAAAGAATTGGTTACTAAGGTATTGCCAAGGGAACCTGTTAGAAGCCCTGGTGCTATAATGGTTACACATTGAGTTATGATCAACATGGTCAGCAGTTCAAAACCACAAGCACTTCTGCTGGAGAAAGACTGGGCTTTCTACTCTTGCAAACAGTTACATCCTCACAAACTCACAGCAGATCACTATGAGTCATCATTGGCTTCATGACACTGAGTTTTGAGAAGGAAACCTGTATTTGGACGCATGGTGGCTAGTTGGTTATACATTAAGCTACCAATCATACTGTTAGTGATTCAAGCCCATCTGTCACTCCGCAGCCTTTAAAAGATTGAAAGGTTTGAAAATGGAAAGAGGCAGCATTTATCTGTGCTACAGGGTCACCGTGAGTTAAAATCTATTAGATGGCAGAGGCTTTTGTTGTTGTTGTTGTTATGGAAAACTGTCCAATAAATACAGAGAGACTATAAGTTGTATACCACAAAGGCAAAATGCAGCTTGAAGAGTAGAAAATAAAAAGAATATTTAAAAGGCTCATATATGGTAGGTCTGAGGGAAACCATGTGGAAAATATAAAACTTTACAGATATTTTGAAAATATTTTGAATATCTAGATTTTTTTCTTCAAATTATTCAATACATATTTCATAACACATTTCAATATATAGAAATCAATGGATAATTCATGTCAAGTGATTCAGAGGTGAGGTTGTCTCCAAGATTCTTTAATAGAAAAGTGCTAACTTTTCTTTTCTTACTTTCTATGAACAGGTGGAGAAGTTGTGTCATCTTAGAACAAGAATGGAACATTTTAATTTAATAAATGAATTTGAACTCTGGCAGACCCATTTTGGGTTCAGAACATTTTAATCTCTATTTATTGTACCAAATTCACACCCAGACATTTGATCACAACTCATAGCAACCCTAGAAAACATAGGTAAACTTCTGTTGTGGGTTTCTGAGGCTGGAAGTCTTTATGGGGACAGTATGTCAACCTTCTGGTTAACTGTCAAACACCTAACCCACTTGGTAGAGGGCCTATATTCCACATCCCCAAACTAGAGCTGATCCCTGCTGTTATTGGAATCAGCAGCTCAAATATACCCATTTTGGAATCAGCAGGTCAAAGATCCCCAGGAATAAGTAACATTTGAGGCAACAAGTGTGTGTCA